TCTTTTTTTTTAAGGATAGGGGGGTAAGTTGCCCAAGTCTCCCAAAAATGTTGCAAGACCCTCTCAGAAAGATTAAGATTATGACAACTTGTGTATTGTCAAATGGTTTGAATTCCCAAGTTTGAAGTGTTATTTCAAAGGAAATGTCTGCTTAAGAAAGCAAATCTCTTGTTTCATCCGTTTACAGGTAAATCTGCCCAGAGCGCTGGTGATAGCCATCTCTCTGGTCACTGGCATGTATCTGCTGGTGAATGTTAGCTATCTGACGGTGATGACGCCTAGAGAGCTCATGTCCTCCACCGCTGTAGCCGTCACCTGGGGGTAAGGGCAGCTTTGTTTTCGAGTTTTTAAATCTGAAAGAAATTCCAGTTTAATCAGATTTATCTATCAGGAATAAGGTGTTGGGAAGTTGGGGTTGGATCATGTCGCTGGCTGCAGCCCTGTCTGCCTTTGGTTCCTTAAACGGGACATTCTTCAGTGGGGGCCGAGTGTGCTTCGTGGCTGCCAGGGAGGGCCACATGGTAAACTTTTCTCTTCTGTTTTATCAAAACAAATAAAGCTGTTTAAAAATACAGCTGGTCGCCCATATTTATATGGATTCCTGTTTGCTGTACAGCCAGATATTCTCTCCATGGCTCACGTCCACCGGCTGACTCCCTCTCCGGCTCTCATCTTCACAACTATTATCTCCTTGGTTGTGCTGATCCCCGGAGACTTTCAGAGTATCGTCAACTACTTTAGGTGAACTTGACCTCCTGTTTTGTTTGATCAAATAAAAACTGCTTTTATTGTATCTAAAACAGCCCCTCTTGGTCTTTTCAGTTTCACAGCCTGGTTTTTCTATGGTGTCACGCTGTCTGGACTGATTTATCTCAAAATAAAGAAACCAGATCTCCCCAGACCATACAGCGTTAGTGTCACATCCAGTTAATCTCACATTTCTAATAATTCAAAACAGTTTGATACAATACCTCTCTCTTCCTTTCTTCACAGGTTCCCATTGTGCTCCCTATACTAGTCCTGCTGGTGGCAATTTTCCTAGTTCTGGCCCCCATCATAGATCAACCTCAGATTGAATACCTTTATGTGGCTTTATTTATTCTAAGCGGTGCAATAATCTATGTACCGTTTATACATTTCAAGCTTTGTCCTGGAGTTTTTAAGAAGGTGACAACATTCCTGCAGCTGTTTTTGGAGGTCGCTCCAGCAGAAAAAAACCTGTGATTTTTAAGCCGCTGAATGAATCCATAAAAGAAGCCAATTATGATGTTTTTTATCCTATTGCATTTATTTAATTATGTATGTACAAAATATATTGTATTCTAAATAAAATTTCCAGTAGAAAAATGTAAAATCTCTGAAAGTCAGATGTATTCTTTTACCGCACATATAGACGTGCTAGAATGATTTGTTTGAAATCTCAGCAGCTGCTCAGTTTCAAAAATAAATACTTAATTTAATAAACTTCAACAAAAGTGAATAATACTTGATTAATCCCATTGGGAAATGAAATGTTGCAGTTACTTTTTCAGTTGTTTCTAGTTTTTCAATCAGATTTAATAGGTGTTGTAAGCTGGAAGGATCTTCTGTAGTGGTCTGTCTTGCACCAGATCATAGATGGCTCTCAATGAAGAGGATGCATACTGTCACACATCATGTTGTTACAATGAATTTATAAGATGGCTTCTCTCAGTATTTTGGTAGAAAATTTAAAGTTCTCTGTCCATTTTCAGACGGTGATTGTTAATCACTAATTGGTTTTCTGGACACTTATATGTATTTATCGAGTCTTTGCAGTATACTTCAGTCTTCATCACAGTTGTGTTGGTTTTGAAAACCCCATACAAAAATAAAATCAAGCTAATCGATCAGGAAAGGTATTAGTTGAAGGAACATATAGCATTAAAGGAAAATTGTGTAATATTTCTATTTAAAGGTACACCGCAGACTTGTGACCTAAATAGCTGATGCATAGGAGTTATTCTAAATGACTCCTCAGGCCGGTATACAGTGCTCGACACTATCAATGCTAAGAGTGGGGCTCCCCTCTTCAAATACCAGCTAGTATTTGCTGGTTGGTATTTGCTCCTAGTATACAGTCATGTATCTTTGTTATGATTCTCGATATTTAGTGGAAGCAAAATACGGCCAGTTACAGGTCAAGCGCCACACAGTGTGCATTTAAGTACAAAAAAGTGAAAAAGCCCATCAATCGTTGCCGCTCCATTTTCTGGGACATGATTAACAGTAAAAACTTGAACTTTGTTCTTCTTTTTACCAGTGCTTACTTTGATATTTCATACCTTTTCATCATGCTTAATAGAAATTTTGCTTCTTATTTCATGTCCACAGTTGCATCAAATGTTTTCAGCTAGTTTCTCCAAATGTCTTTAACTCTTCAGTAGGTTCTTCTGTCTTATGCTGAGAAAAAAACTTGTTTAATAACCAGTTATATTTAAGTAACTTTATGACAAAAAAAAATATTAGTTTCAGTGTACCACACGTATTACTTTTGTGTAAAAGCATTATTAAGCATCACTAGAGCAATTTTTTTATTGCTCTTCCCACTGTTTTATTTTTCATACACCAGTGTACTCTCCATCTGCTGAGCCTTATGTGACATTTGGAAGTACAGATAACAGTAAATATTGTCACTACAGGTACTTTACACTGTTCTAATATGTATAGACCTACAAATACACAGTGTATCCCCCTCTGTTAACCCATTATGTCTTGATGTGTAACCAATTAATACATTTAAATCCTAAAACACTTAAAGGAAGATTTTTTTAAGTTTATAAATGCAGCACAGATACTGCGTTTCCACATAAGGAGTCTAGTTATGTCACAGCTTTTTCCAAAAGTTGCCCCCAAAATCCTGAATGATTTTTGAAGAACTATGTTGATTTATAAGGATTGGCTTTAAAACAACCCAGTTTAGGTGCAGTTTCGGCTGCATCTATGGGTTTTCTCACAGGGATGATAAAAGTATTTTAACTGATGGATTCAGTCGTGCTGATTTTCAGTCAGAACTCTCAAAGATTCTTCTTAAAAAAAGAAAAAAAAAAGTTTCCAGCTCGCTCGAATCAAACACTGATGAAGCTGTGGAATTTGAAAATGTTTAATAACCAATTAATAAAGAGAATATGATGAGGACAAATGAGTTTACATTTTCCAGCTTATATGCAACCTTGATTTGCATTTGTGCTTAGTCACTTGAAAATAAAAAAAAACAAGTGAAAGGTTTAAGAACAAGCACTTTTCTACGCCAACTTAACAGTTCTTAACACTGGCTGGATCCAAACACAATGAAGTTGTCTTTTCTGACATCAGTCCTCTCTGCTTTTCTTCTTTGATCTGTTTGACTCCAAATTGTCCTCACCGCTCTCTCTCCGTGTCTCACCTCTGTCCCCTTGTGTTGTCTGGTGATAAAGGGAGTGAAGCCGTTCTGCATTCACGTCAGCGTCCTCCGCTCCTTCACAGCACCTCATCCACGACTGAGGAACGGCCTCGATGCCATAGTGGGCCCCGGCGATGGCCCCGGCCATGCATGCTATGGTGTCTGTGTCACCTCCCAGGGCCAAACTGTATGCTATTGTCCTCTCCAGGCCACCATATTTCTCTGGAAGGTAGTCCCTTGGCTGAAGGCAGTGGAGGACACAGAAGATAGCAGTGGGGACAGAGTGTAGCGCTGCAATGCCATTTCCTGGAAGTAAAACAGGGAAAAGTCTCGTACCATGTCTTTTGGTTGTGCTGTTCTTTTTACATCTCGTTGCAGGTGATGAAGCAGACAGAAAATGTTTTATCATTATCTCCTATTTATCATTCTATCTCCTATTTCTTTCATCTTTTCTCTCTTTTTTTCGTTTTTCTCTTCTTCTGTTTTTCCTCTTCTGTTCTACCTACATTGCAGTGTCCATATAATCTGTAAAACTCCCTGCATAATTATAATAAAGCAATTTATATGCATGAAATAAGTGGAACACTGTGGCGACAGCCCTACTGCTCCACTTGTGAAAGTGAAATCTGTTGGGCTCTTTTTGGCATCACAACAATTATTCTTATTGCCAGAGAGGACACTGTAAAAAATAAAAAATAAAAAAAATAAAATAAAACAGGGAAAAGAAAAAGTTCAAAATCACTACCACTAGTGCCAATAATGCCGTAAACACTCAAAAATATACATATTTTGGATAGGGAGTGGCAGCCTAGGGGTTAGGGGGCATAGAGCTTGGAATCCTGAGGTTCTGAGTTTGAGCCCCACTCCCACAGACTGCCACCCTGGCTCCCTGAGCAAGACCCTTAACCCCACACTGCTCAACAGGAGCCCCATGATGGCAGCCCACTGCTCCCCAAGAGGATGGGCTAAATGCAGAGGTAAATTTCTCCAATGTGAGATTAATAAAATTCAATGGGGAATGTTGGCCTATGGGTTAGAGCAGTGTGCTTGTGCTTCTGAGAAGGTTGCAAGTACATGGTTCGATCCCCACAACCTGAACTCTGGGTCTCTGAGCAAGACCCTTAACCCCACACTGGTCCCCTACAGTGCCAGCCCACTGCTCCCCAAAGGGATGGGTTAAATGCAGAGAGTTAAGTGCTCCATTGTGAGATTAATAAAGTTTTTTATCTTATATAATATATAAACTTAAGTCCTGCAGGTATTTTTCACAACCGATCCTGCCCGCATCCTCCATTTTAATTTATGCACTGCGCTGTAACATTCCATAGATCTAATTTCCTGCATATTTTAACTGCAGGTGAACAATAATCTTTCCACTTTTAATCTCAAATTCTCATGTAAACTGAGGCCAACTATAAAAGATATCTGCCCAATACAAAAACAACGACAAATAAGAAAAATCTTTAAAAATATATCGGCAAAACGAATGAAACCGTAGAGAAAATTTTGAGAACAAAGGTCTAAATTTGAAATCACTAAATAAACAAAGGGTCAGAATATAACAATAAAAAATAATACAATGAAAGTGGGACAGGTGAAGAAAAACATTGCTGGGAGACTCTGGTCTCCTATCATCACTGGTACCAAATTGGGATCAATGTTAAAGTGGCCCCTCTCATCTGCACTGAGCTTGGCTGGGTCGCACCAGATTCCATTCTCATTGCAGGGCTCAATAATGAACCTCTGATATTTCTTTTAATTGCTTAAAATAAATAATAAAAAAATTGCATTTTTAATGTTGCAGAACATCGACCTTTTAGCTAAGGAGCTTACGTAAACTACAATCTCCTTTGAAAAAAAAACTACCACTGTTAAAGTGTAATTATGTTGATTTTTACTGTTTGTTTTACTATGACATAGATTCCACAGTTCTATCAATATGTTAAAAGACTCTCAGAATGGTTTATTAATTGATTTATTTCTACCAGATGTAAATGAAAACTTGTGAGCTTTACTGACCGAGTTCAGAGATGACTTCCTCTATACTGACTTTACTTCTGTCCATCAGGTCTCTGACTTTGTGGAGACGCTCACAGAATGGCTTTTCTGCTTCTTTTAGTCTGCAAAAAACAAAACAAATAAAAATCAGAAAACTGCTGAAAATAAACTACCATTCTTTTTTTAATCGGATGTCTAAAAACAGCTGTGATTGGTTTGTTCTGCAGGAGCCAATAAAAGTTGAATTCATCCACAACTCACATTCTGGCATCACGAAGTGCCTCCTCCTCACCCTCCACTTCTTCCATCTCAGAGATCAGCTTGCTTATGAACTGCCGAGGTACATTTAGCGCTCCCTGCAGTGAGAGATGAACGGCCAGCGCTTGCAGGACAGCTCCATTGTAACCCAGAGAGCAGGAGTGTGTGAGCATGGCACCCAGACGAGCAAACTGAGAGTGAACAAAAAGATAAACATTTTGGTGATGATGTGGGTCTTTGTTTTTCACATCGTGAGGTCACCACTCACCCGTTTAACTTCAACCAAGTCAGGAAAAGCCAAGGCGAAGGGGACGGCTCTCATCGCCCCGCCGTTTCCAAATGAGCCCCGACCGTTGAACTGATCCCTCGCTGGTTGGAAGACGTCGGCCAGCTGAGGGGAGGCAAGCTTCTTCAACACCTGGATCACTCCAGAACCGTAACCACGGCCCGGCGAGGCGCTGTACTCCTTCGCAAACCTACAGGGATGAAAGATGGGTGTTCTGATATAAGCCTTGATATAAATATAAATATTTATAAATCCTGATAAAGCCTTGAAATCACCAGTCAAGTTGGAGATGGTGTCATTTTACCTGCGGGCCAAGTCCTGCTCATC